AGTTTTCTTTCTCAGGGTGCCGGGGCAGACCTAGGAAGAATTAACTGTTCCAAAACCAGCCATAAAGAAATGACCAGCATTGTCAATTTATCATCAGTGGTCTTGTGTTACCAAAGTCTGAATCAGTGCTGGCTTCTCATTCCATCTTCTTCTGCCATTGGTTCTTGTAGTGACATTAAGGTCTTTAGCAGATAGATGAGAACATGGGAGTGAGGAACACCAGGTTATTCTTGCTCCTAGTTTGTTTGGGGTTAAGGTTTTTGGAGTTTAGGAGCTTGAAATTAGAGGAACTTGGGTAATGAAGTCAGGAAACATGCTCTTTCTTCTGCACCACATGTACCCATGTATCTATGGAGTCAGCTATTCCTCAGTGATGTCCAAAGGCAGTTATTGGGATGTTAACCTCTTCACTCACTATGATGTCACACACAGGGTTGAAGAGCTTTCTCCTTCATGGGTGATAACTTATTTACCCCGTAAGATTAGGATTATAAAGGCAGCCCAGGTTGTATCAAGACTCCTGTTCTTTGATGTTAGCCTTGAAGATGGCCTTATTAGCTCTTCTGACTTCAGAATAGAAGGATGATTCTGAGTCTGGTTTTGGTATAGGCGATGAGCCCAACTGTAATCTTCTCTTCACCAAAGAAAGTAGTGGTTTATGTAGAAGGAGGGCAAGCAAGATAAGTCTGAAGTGCAAGACTTATAGGGAGCGGCTGAGGTCACTTGGCTTGTTCAGCTTGGAGAAGAGAAGGCTGAGAGGTGAACTCATTGCAGTCTACGACTTCCTCAAGGGGGGCAGCAGCGGGGGAAGGTGCTGATCTCTCTGGTGACCAGTGATAGGACACAGGGAAATGGAATGAAGCTGCTCAGGGGAAATTCAGACTGGACATTAGGAAAAGGTTCTCCACTGAGAGGGTAGTCAGTCACTGGAACAGGCTCCTCAGGGAAGTGGTCACGGCACCAATCCTGTCAGTTCAAGGAGTAACTGGATACTGCTCTTAGTCATATGATTTAGTTTTAGGTAGTCCTGTGAGGAGGAGGGAGATGGACTCGATCCTTGTGGGTCCCTTCCAACTCAAGATATTCTATGATTCTATGTAGGCACCCTGAAATCTGAAGACTCCTGTTGGGAATGTGACTAAGTGTCCTTCAGGCTTCAGTAGAAGGAAAAAAGGTTGAGAAGTTATCTTATAAGTGATCGACTTTCTCTGGTTACCTGCTGTGGATAAAGTGCCTCTAAGTGAGGTAGTCACACATTTAGCCAAGCTAGTATGACAAACTCTGGCAGGTGCAGGCTGCATCTCATGAAGCAGAGAACACCACCAACATGTAGAATAATTCTATCCCCTCTTGTTGGGTCCTTTCTTGTAATAACACTGAGAGATAAAGCCTTTGTCTGTTAAAATTAAGTTCTCTAAAAAGGGGAGTTAAGCTGTATTATTTGAGTGCAAGGCAAATTCCTGCACAAGACTACAGCACCAGTACTTTCCCCAAAGCCTTTGATGTCTGGAGTAGAGTGGAGTTCGTTTACAAAATACTATGTAGTCTCTGAAGCCTCAAGTTTGGGAATGTGTTCAACAAAGCAGTACGTCCATCAGTATATTCTTAGAAGTTTTTCTTCCTTGCACTGACTTGTTGCTGCTTTGAATGAAATTGTTAGCACAGTTAGCTTTTCTAACTGAAGCTCCTGGGTACATGTTGTCTATAAGCATGGTCTGCAGGGTACCTTTATATAAAAGCGCAGAAAGAGTAGGAAGGAAAAAGGGACTTGAATTTCAGTGGTAGAGGTGCAGTAACTTGCATTAGGAATGTCTGTAAATATGCTCCTGCTTAAAATGAGATCTGTTTTTATTGCAGAAGAGTTGCATGCTATACAGCTTTTTTCAGTGTATATGTGTCCCTTCATAACCTCAGGTTGCCTCCATTTGATTACAGAATATGTACTTTGCAGCAAAGCTGCTGCTTTTTCCCCAGTGAACAAGCTGAAAACAAAGACTAGAATCACAGTGACCCTTACGGAATTGAGCTTATTCATTCTATGCAAAGTCATGAAAACATTGTTTGTGCTACCAGGCTAGCACTTGTGACTTAGTTTCTAGACTTACAGAGAATAGCAAATTCTTTGGGGCTGTTTTCTAAAAGGAAGTGCCAGTGCAGTTTTTGACAGGATTATTAGCCAAATTTGGAATGCATGGTAGTTCATCAGAACAAAAAAGCTTGAGACCATGCCTCTAGCCTTCCTTTTAGTTTTAGATAATGACATTGGCAAAAAAATCTCTGGCTGAACTGTTGCTGTTAGACTTTAGTCTGAAGCTAGTCCTTCTCTTGGGAAGCTTGGTCAGTAGGGACTTCTCTGTGAGGCTTGGAGGGGAGATGCAGGCTCCTGCTGAGTCTTGGCAACAGCTGGTACCTTCTGGTATAATTCCAACCTCTTTAGCAAACTGCAAGGGTGAAGCATGATTTTGTGGATTGTAGTAGCAAGAGGAGTGGAGCAAGGGAAGGCACTGTGGAAACTTGGTATCAGTTTCTTCTATTCTTCCCTTATTAACAATAATGGTGCAAGGTGGGGTGTCATAAACCTACTGTTGCCGTAATCTGAGGCATGTGTTTCTCTTTCAGTCATTCTGTTTTCTTTACTGTCTCTGTAGCGGGAAATGGCAGTCTTGCTGAAGTTTGTAATTGCAGAGGGTGTACTTCTGATCTTGCTATGCTCATGTGACCACATGTTTGTGCTGCTTATGTATTTATTTTTATAAATTATAGCGAGTTTCGTAGTAGAAAGGATACTACTTGTGTTTAATGTAGATAGTACATTTTCCAAATGTGGAAGAGGGCCAAGGAGATATTTCTAGGATGGTTGAAACCATTGGTAATTTATCTTCTGTTTGTGCCCTAGTATCCCAGGCAGACTTGAGAACCGCTTTGTGCTAAACCCTATGTGGGAACCTGTGAGGCTTGATTCTGTTGCCAGAACATGGATAACTCCTGATGGCCTGAGACAGCAGGGACATCTGTCTAGGGGTTGTAGACATGACCTAGAATATATGAGACTTGGGGCAGCAGTGGAGTCTTCCTAGGAGACCCTAAGGTATTAGGTGGCATTAGATGTCTGTGTTTAACAATGGAATTGAGTCAACAAGGGTACCCCAAAGAGCTTACTGTCCTAATAAACAAGGCAGACACAAGGGAAAGGAATGTAAAGCACCAGCAGCATGGTCAGGCCTAGCTAAGGTCAAGAGGTTTCCCGTATGTATTGTAAAAGTGGACAGAGTAAGTGAGTCACTGGGTGGGAAAGAGGGAGGTTTAAAGAGCGAGTGGTTTGGAAGGGAGAAGAAGAGTGGGAGAGGAGGGCAAAGTCAGAGGAGCCAAAATGCTAGCAAAGGTCCATTCAGGGGCAGAGGGAGGGAATGGCCAGCAGCAAAAGAAGCAGCAGCTAGTCAAAACAAAATGTTCTGCTTCCTGACTGGGGTTGGGAGGTTGCAGACCAGCAGCTGCCACAGGCCCACTTGTTGCTTCCCTGCCATAGGCATGAGCTGCCTGTCCACTGGAGTTTGCTATGCCATTAAGAGTCACAGGTCTTCACCAGACCTGAGATTGTATTTTGAAATAATGTATTAAAATAATCAGAAGTTTCTCCTGGTCAAAATGCCTTGCTAATGTTTACACTTCTAATCCCCACCTCCTCCTTTTCCCTCTACTGCAGCCTTTCCCATCTGGGGAACAAGAGAGCCAAACATAGATTCAGCCTCATTTCTTTGGAGTGAACCAACTCCTTAACTCTCTGCTGTTTTGCTTCCCACTCAATGTCTGGCTACACAGTGTAGAAAAGTGAGCAGGCAATACTTGCTCTGCTGCCATTTCCTCCCCTTCCAAGTGCCCCCCCGCAGCTCATTAAGTTCGCATTATAAGCTACATGAGCTCTCGCGCAGCTGTCTGCATAGGAAGATCTTGTCAAGCAGTCCAGATCCCTGGAGCCAGCATCAACGTCAGGCAGGCGACAAAAGGCCAAGGCCAGAATTCAAGGAAAGCAACATGGCAAAGAAATTCTCCTGATTTTACTCCAGGCATTAGGGAACTGGTTAATTCCATGGAAATAATTCTCTGCCAATACCCTGTTTTGTGGTGGTTTGAAAAAAAATGTGCCTAAGTTGCCCTGATGATCATTAACAGTATTTCTTAATGCTGGAAGAGGGAATTGCATTAACGCCAACTTCTGATTTACAGTCGTCTTTGTGGAGCATCCTTCTTGCAACTCTTTCCAAACTAGAGAGAACGTGTGTATAGAGTGAAATAGTAAAATCAGTCTTGGAATGGGAAGCTGGCTTCAATCTGACCTGTGTGGAGCAGAACACATCTAACAGATGTAATATGTTATGAATGTTTTAGAAACTAAGGAAAAAGTATTTCTATAGTGGTTTGCTGCAAAGCGGCAAGCTGTCAATAAGATAGAGTTATGGGAGGTTGTCTGTGTAGGTGGAGCTGCTGAGTAGAAGACTCTTGTACTCCTGTGGGGATATTGCAGAAAAGCATACAGGAATAATTGAAAATAAGCTGATGCTTGAAAGAAGCAAGATTTTTCTATAGCTGACTGGAATAATCAATATAGGAATTAAAAGGAGAATGAAGTTCTGTTGTTTCTAGGATCCAATGGAAGAAGTAGATTGGACCTGCTCTGCTTGTGTCAATTCTGTGTGAAAACAAGTAGTAGAGTTCTGCATGAAATGCAGTTTGTAGACAGCAAAGAGTTTATTTTTCTGTATAATACCTTCCTAAGACTCACTCTACTTCCATCTTTCCCCCACAAACAGAATATATATTAAGCTTGACTCTGAGGAAGTGAAATTTCCCACTGGTGGAATGTTATTTGTTCAGCCCTAGAGAATTCACTGGATTTAACATAAATTATGTAGATAGAAATGACCTGGCAGACACTAATGTTGGACCTTACCCGAATGTTTAAAGGTGCAGTAAGGTAAACTTAGTGTCCACTGTATTTTCAGAGCTCTATGGTTTTGATGTCCTTATTGATGATACTCTCAAGCCTTGGCTGTTGGAAGTGAACCTATCCCCATCACTGGCCTGGTAAGTGATTCCTAGTTTAATATGAGGCTGGGACTGTTGCTAGTTATGGGTGTCTGTGAAACTTGTGGTCTTAGGAGGGCATGATTTCACGATGCCTGCAGAGTATTTGTTCCACTGTTAAGAGCTGACAGAGAAGATAGTCCTTTGCTTTTCCCTTTGCATAAACAAACTTATTGCAGCAATAGGTTTTGAAAGAACCCAGTTTGGATTCCATTTTCTTTTTAATTATTTCTCTTCCACAGTCCATCATGATGGTTAACACTTTATAATCTCCCATCATAGATGAATTTTGAAATGCTCCAGACTATTTCAATCTGCTTGGCTGAGTAGAAACGTCAAGATTTTTTGAGTCCAAGTAGAGTTCAAGCATTATGCTTGACTTGAGTACGTTGTATGCTTGGGCTCAAATTTTTGCTTTAGTACTCTCTAGCTAAAATCTAAAGAGTGAGTGTTGTCTTGGCCCTTATGCTGACCCTCCTACTCTAGTGGAGCTTGAGGATTTATTTTTGTAGATCTCCAACTAAGTGTGTTTTCTGGACTACTGTTTAACTTTACAGGAGTACAGATGCACAATACACTCTTGTAGTACTGTGAGTAATGTTTTAGTTATGAGGATATAAATAAACTTTAAGTTACATGTTCCTGGAATAGCCATATCTGACCTTAATTTTGACCCCTCCCCCCCTTTGTCCTGCATAGTATTTTTTTTACACACTATTCAAAACCCTAGCTTCCACAGTACCCATTTTGTTTTCAGGTGCAACTAGAATGTTTCCACAACATTTAATTTCCAGGTTTAGTGGTTTGTGTTCATATACATACATGCTGAATTACTTGCATCCTTTACTACTTAAAACTGTAACTCGGATCAGTATCCTTTGCTCTGGTTTGATTGCCGTTTTCTTTGTCTAAGCTGTTGGCATCTATCACTGTGCTGTAGAACACGGCTGATTTCTCTGCTCCCAGGGAATCAGACTTTGCCTGTCTGATCTGAACTGTATGCATTGATTTTTATTTTTTTCCATGAAATGTAGCATAGATGAATTCAAAGACAATGCTTCTAGCCAAGCAGAGTTAAAACAAGGCCATACATTGTTGCATTAGAAGACTAAAGCTGTGAAAAAGGATAAACAACAACAGATTAATCTGTTTATGTTTATCATTTCATGTTTACCTATGTGTGTGGAAAATCACTGAGTATTCCTCCCATGTTGATTATGTCTGTGTTAAGGACCAATACAAAGAAACTGTATTGGAAAATATCTTGGATATTGATGCATTCCTATCATTTAATGCCAGACAAATAACTTCTTTTGTCTCCTGTTGCATGTGGGGATAGTGATGCTCCTTTGGACCTGAAGATCAAAGCTAGCATGCTCTCAGATATGTTCACTCTTGTAGGTGAGTGTAACAAAAGCTCCTTTAATCTTTCCCTCATTTAAAACCAATAAAAGGTAGGTTTCTGAGCTGCATGTTATTAGAGGAGTATAACAATGGAGAACTCTAGTTAAGGAGAGCAATTGTATTTAGCACTGGGAAGTTATACGTGGACATTTCAGCTTCAGAATTATCTGGCTGTTTGTGATGCTTAGGTGGAGTTAAGAGTCCCTAGTTTGGGTATTTGAAAGCACTCCTCTTTCTCTTTAGCCCTCAGAATCAGTACTCATGCATTTTTTAGGTTGAATGTGTGGGTTCTGGTTAAGCTATGTTAGAAGTGGAGTCACGCTTGGAAAGCTGCATGACTTTTTAGTGCACAGTACCTTTTAGGCATCGCTAGTACATCTTGGTTCAGTTACTTGGCGCAACTTACCCCTAATACTGAAAGAGACAGAATTGTCACCAGGTAGCCTGCTCAGCTATTTAAGAAATGGAGCCTATCTCTATGCTGCTATCCAGTAACCTGTTATTGATCTAAGTACTTGGGTTTGAAGCAAGTTCCAGTTTTACTCAAAAAATGTAATGCAGTGTACAGTTTGGGATTAAACAAAGCAAGATAAAGAAAAGCGTCCTTTTTGGTCCTTGGGCAGGGACAGGAAGGTAATATATAGACTGAGATCATTAACAGGAATGCTAGGTTTATATTTCAGGGTCTGTCTGTCTTAAAAATTGTCATGTGGCTTCTGATGTCCTTAGGCTTTGTGTGCCAGGATCCAGGCCAGCGGTCAAGCCGGGCCATTTATCATTCATCTGAATCTGTCAGGAGAAATCCATACCAGAAGCTGCAGGTAAGTGACTTCAACAAGCCAGAGCTAAGGAGGACAGCAGGAAAGTTACTCTCATTGAATTTGGCTCACAGGTGTGCTGGTTTTAGCCAGGATAGAGTTAATTTTCTTCATAATAGCTAGTATGAGGCTATGTTTTGGATTTGTGCTGGAAACAGTGTTGATAACACAGGGATGTTTTAGTTACTGCTGAGCAGGGCTTACACAGAGCCAAGGCTTTTTCTGCCTCTCACCCCACCCCACCAGCGAGGAGGCTGGGGGTGCACAAGAAGTTGGGAGGGGACACAGCTGGGACAGCTGACCCCAACTGACCAAAGGGATATTCCACACCATGTGATGTCATGCTCAGCATATAAAGTTGGGGGAAGAATAAGGAAGGGGGGACACACATTTGAAGTGATGGCATTTGTCTTCCCAAGTAACTGTTACGCGTAATGGAGCTCTGTTTTCCTGAGATGGCTGAGCACCTGCCTGCCGACTGGAAGTAGGGAATTAATTCCTTGTTTTGCTTTGCTTGCATGTGTGGCTTTTGCTTTACCTTTTAAACTGTTTTTATCTCAACCCTTGAGTTTTCTCACTTTTACTCTTCTGATTCTCTCCCCCATCCCACTGGGGGAGAGTGAGTGAGTGGCTGGGTGGCACTTAGTTGCCAGCTGGGGTTAAACCATGACAACAGGTGAGAGAGCTGGTGAGTGAACAAGGGTATCTGGATTTCTAGTGTAATTACAGAAGAGATGCGGGGGGGATGCACCTGAGCTATGGGCTGTTCAGTCACTTTCATTTTGTTGTGGACAACAAACTTCCAGGACCCTAGAGCTTTACTGATGTCTCCAAGACTTCCTTCTAGGCAGAAAGAGCATTTTGCATTTGAAATTTAAGGCTTTTTTCCATTCATTCCTGGAATCCCTCACTTCCTTTCCTGTGGATCCTTGGACTGAGGCCTCATGTGGCTTGCTGTAACTGTCCATTACCTTTTCTGCTGAGGTAGTACTTTCTTAGCACTGTAATGCTGAAGGGCAGTTGTTCTCTATCTTTTTTTGGCTACAAGATGGATTCCATAAATATCTATGGAAGTAGAGCACTCGCAAAAGGCAGGGAAATCCCTTATGTCATTTGGACTTTCAAATGCATTTCTCCTCATGCAAATAGGTAAATGACACACTCCGCAGCTGATGCACATGCCTCGGTGAGGGACATGCAACATGGCTGTGTAACTCAAGTTCAATTAGGAAACAAAAAGTCACTTTTCTTCAGTGACAGAGCACCAGTACAGTGTCCATTTTGGTGTTCGCAGAAATTGCACCATTCTGCTTCTTATAAAACTTGGAGTTTTGAGTCACTGGGAGAGAGGTGAATAGCTGGTAAGGTGAGATTTGAGTTTCTATAGGATGTGAGGCTGAGTCCAAAGCTTCTAAGGCCAATTTAATAGACAGGTTTCATACAGATCCCTGTGAACATAAAGGTGTTCTTTGTGGCAGACAAAATGTATGTCAGATAAATTAGGAACCATTCCAGAAAAAGTAACCCTCTCTTAGAGTAATGCGGTCAGATCCTGATGATTTAACATCTTTTATCTGAAAAAAATTATACAGGACAGTCTCAGAAAATTGAGCTGTTGGGAACCTTTGAATTTTAAGGAGGCTTTAAATGTACAGATTTATTTTGCTTAAAACCCCACAAATAGGTTTAAGGCCTGGCCAGTTGCAATGTGGAAAGATTCATGCGATAGAGCATGATAGAGTTATGAAATGGGATTAACTTATCTTTTGGGACAGGTGTCCCCCTTACCTATCTTTACCAGGAACAGGCTTCTAATCCATTTATAAAGTTTTATAGTATGTTTTCCTTAAGTACCTAAATGGAAATCCCATGGCTAAGTAGGTGTATAGATATTTCCATGGTTCAAGAATATTTTGTCCTGCTCTTCGCTGTATGCATTTTATCTCAGATTGTTGGATCTTTGATGCTTCTGTTCCCATTCTCAGTTGCAAAGGGTGCTTTGAACCTCTTGTTTTTCTTAACACCTTCATGATGTCTTAAGTTTTGGTAGTTCACGTAGGCCATATTTAATAACGGTAAAAGTTGCTTCCTGAGAAAGCAGTGTTGATACCAGCGTTCTTGGTCATGAGATAGTTATGGCAACTTCTGAGTTTCACCAGACTGGACTGCAAGTTCTTGTACAATTTCTTTGGTTTGACTCCGAGTATTTCTCCCTCTAGGAAAATGAACAATTTAGCCGCTTCCTATATAACTTACTGTTGATTTGGGTTGGAGCTCTATCAGTTAATAAAGGGACCTTGACCTGTTTTGTATAGACCAACTGTAGAGAAGAACTTGGCAGTAGTACAGCTAGAAGTGATAGATGGGTCTCTTGAGAATCCTTTCTTACACCATTTGCTTCTCTTGGGCATTGGAGAGGAGGAGGGCAGCCTTGACAGCACCAAAGGCAAGAAAAATCTAAGCTCCTATGATAATAGTTTTCTTTTGAACCTACCACTGTCATTAAACTGGTCTTGCTTGTAGGCCTGATGCCAGATAAGTAATACAGGGTACTTTTTGGCATTCTGCTGATGTTTCTACACCTATTTTGGAATGTTAAATAGCATCTTGTTTCTCCACAAGAAGTGGAATATTGTTGAGATATTTAAATGAAAAGGCTTCTGGAATTTCACATTTTTACTATTTTTTTTTACGCCCTCTTCTATGAACAATTCTACTTGACAGCATCTGTTTCTCCTTAATACATAGCTATTAAATGTTTCCCTTTGGGTAACTCTTATCTTACAAAAATACGAATTTTGGTCATGAGAGTTGAGTTTGTTCATCCATTCTGCAGAGCTCTTTTCTGTGCGCTTTTGAAAATGGTATGTATGACCAGATGCATTCTGCACAGTTGTGTGTGTCTGAGGTTAGGATTTGTGCTGCATTTGGAATGGGGACAGGGTACATTTGCGGAGTATAGGAGGAAGATCTGAACTGAGATGATAGCTGTTAGCTGGATTTCAGTTATACCTTGCTTTAGGGTACTCACCACTCCTCTTCAACTCGGGCAGGCATGATAGTGTGTTGGAGAACACAAAATTTTTATTCTCTTTGTGTGTCTCTTGCAGCGTCCTGTGTCTGCGCAGTCACAAACAGCAAACACCAGATTGGTAAGTACTCTTCAGCTCCCTTCACCAATATAAGGGATGCAACTATCTTGTACAATACTTTTGGGGCAATTGGTCCCAAAATATATTTTGCAGCTAAGTAGCCTGGTGTGTGTGGGAAGATAACAAGAAAAGAGGAGACGAGTAGGTACTGGCATATGTTTCCATCTGGCAGGAGCAAAGGTTGTAAAAACATTTACCTCAGTTCTAGCAGCTTAAAAAAAGGGTAGGTGAGGTGTGCTGAGAGTCAAGATCAGCCAGGTCGAAGTTTTTAAGCCTACAAGAATTTCTGAACTGCATTTTAAAGACATTGGATATAGATGTTTAAAGATAAAGTTGTCGCTCTGGTCGTCAAATGATGAGGACAGTGGCAGCACAGTGTACTGGATTTGGTAGGCTATTGAAAACGGAAGTGCAAAAACAAAGGAAGAGCTGGTGAAAGCAGCAGCAAATAGGAGTTTCACACCAAAAGGGAGGAGGAGGAGGAATTTTTCTGTACTACAGGGGATGGAGTAAGTCTGAATGTCAGTATCCTTTTCAAAATTCAGAGAAGTAATTTTTTACTGTGAGACAGTCATGAAGGAAACAGCAAAAATTGAGAGTGAACTGGGTCAAAATAGATGCAGAGATAAGGATTTATTAAAGATAATGGAAAAATGTAGAACTATTGTTAGCATAATTCAGACTGATCCACCCTTCTAAATGCCATATTTGGCACCCTTCTTGCAAGTTGTATGGACAAATCAATGGTAGTTTACAATTTTAAGCACCTGGCTCTGTGGGGACATGGTAGGCATTATTTTGCTGCTGGGTTTCATGCACAAATGTAATAGTGGTGATTCTCATTTTTTTTTTTTTGGGGTTCCCAGCCGGAAGGAGGGTAGGACAGATGGAATCATCTTGAGAACCTAATTCATTCTATGCACTGCTGTTTATGTCATGCTGTGTAAGTTTAACTGAGGCTAAGAGAAAAGAGTCTTCCTGAATAATGAGGTTTCATAGAGAATAGGAAGTATCTTTGTGCCAACTGCTGTCAGTGCTTAGTATAATTAGAATCATGATGTGGGAACCAGAGATGCTTCCAGAATTTGGAGATAAAACAGAGTGGTTGGATTTAGCCATACTTTTAAAGATAAGCTGGGTCAAAGAGGAAACAAGATCTTTGTGAAGTTGGAGACATTTCTGTGCTACAACCAGAGAGAATTCTGCAGTGAAACACTGAAAAAAGTGTTTGTGCAGGAAATTCAGTTAAGTTAGAGTTTTTCTCTAGCATTTTGACAGTAGTTTTGTTCTCAGTTAGGAGCCAGAGCTGCCAGTATGTAGGCATACATTTTCTGTTTGTAATCAATGAAATCATCTTCATTGTATCGAGACAGTGGAGATGACTTCATTGAAGTATTTCTGTAGTAAAGGAGAACATCTGATAGGATGAAAAATTTCCTGTAATATTCTCTTTGAGCAGCAGTTCTCACATGATGATTGTTATGGTAGTGTCAAGAAATGGTTTTTAAGAGGAGGTTGCCTAACAGGAGACTTTATAGGAAGTCATTAAGCAAAGTTTTTTAGCTGTGCTTCTGAAATAGAGGAAAACATAGGAAGAAAGACTAAACTTTCAACTTAATGCCATCTACAACATCAAGCAAACCTGTTTGACTACTGATATTTTTATTTCTTCTGCAAATGCTTGTCTCTTACCTTCTCATCTAGAGTGTCTCATTTTCTCATGTTTTATTTAATCAGTTTTCATTAGGCTTGACAAAATGTTTCAGCTGGTACTTGCTATGTCTGTTTTCTCTTTGGATCTGTCTGTGCCAATCATTGCAGTGTTAACCCATTTTAGTGTAGTGCCTGTTGCTTTTGCAGTTGTTTCATCTGCATGTTCTGAATAGCTGCTTGCAATTTCTAGTGAAACAGAGAATGGAATTCAATTCCAACAGTCCTTACAGATAAAGATACAACCTGATCTTCCCATGAGTTTGGTTTGTATCTGAGCACTATGGAATATTCCCCGGGCTTATCCAGCTTAAGGTTTCTGTCATGATTTTCTCTTCTTTCGAGGTTAAGAAGGCTCTCTGTACGTTCTGTGCTCAGTATAGTGCTGGAATTTTAAGTTTTATAATCCTGCTAATTTGAAGACACTTTGAATTCCTGTCCTTTGTTAGAATTGACCACAACTGCCCATCAGGTTAAGAATGACCTTGGAGAGACTGGTTGCAAATTGTTTCTTTTCTTATTTTTAATTTTGCATATGTATGCAAATTTGCATGATGTATATACATACACAAGATCTGTCTGTTAAGTGTAAGAAGTAGCAAGCTCAGATCCAGCATTATAGTAACAAAAGAATAACAGGTGGTGAACTGAATTTTTTGCTTTCTTCCTGCAACTTTATCTCATCAGTGAATTACAGTTCTGATCTTCTAGTGTAGCAACACAACTGGAACAGAGAATCATGGTTCTGGTACTACTGAGGTGTGAATCCAATTGTATTTGGGGCCCACAAGTGTGAATACTGGCTCTCGTGCCCCTTGGATGAGGATTTTTCTGTATGAAAACCTGGCTTTGGTGCTTTTGGGTATGTCTCATGTTTTTCTGGAAGGCGCCAGGGGTGTAAATGCTGGCACTGATGCCTGAATTGTGAGTCCTGCTGTGCTAAAAACTGGGAATGTGAGTACTCACACTTAGTGCCCACTGGGGTGTGGACTCTTCAACAGCTGGAGTGTGGACTTGTGAATTATGGCTGTAGTCCTCTGGAGTGTAGATTCTGCTGGGACTGCAGTCCTGGCATTTGAATGTAACCTTTTCTCTTTTAAATAAATTGAGAGAAGAAAAGGAAATAATCTGGATTCACACTGTCTCTACAGCGTACCCGTCCTCTGTCTGCCAGTGATGCTGAAATTAAAAACCCGATGCCCTCAGGCAGGGAAAAAGCAACAGGAAGGCAAGGCAGCTCTGTGCTAGGTCTCTCCATGGAGGAAGTGAGTAGGCTATTAAATATCTTGTATTTACCTTGGCTTTTGTGCAGTATGTGGGGTTATTTGCTCAGCAGAGAGCAAGTGCATGTATATGAAAAACATTACAGAAGTATAATTTTTGAAAAAGAACTGCTGAGATTTACTGCTCTTGCCCTCAGTCATGCCAGGCATACATATGTGCTCTAAGCAGTGGTAGACTCCTTCAGAATTTAAATGCAAGATAAAATTGCTTAAGGATATCATGTGTACCCAGCTCACTCCCAGGACTGCAGTAATAGTCTTGTCTTCTGAAACTCTGAGACTTTTCTAGGGTTCATTTTTCATTGTATCTATTTTGCTGGCTATTTTTTTTCTCTTTTCATTCCAAGATAAAAGTTCTTCGTCGAGTGAGAGAGGAAAATGAACGGAGAGGAGGCTTCATCCGGATATTCCCTACCCCATTAACATGGGACCTTTATGGGTAAGAATAGGAATCCAATAGGATGGCTCAGTGTTGCACTGATGCTCTGTGTTAAGGCATGTTCTGTGTTAGGTATATGTGTATCAACCAGCTTAGCAATCAGAAAGACACATATTGAGGATTTTGTTAAAGTTTATTTTAGTGTTGAGGATACTTTTTTCTGATCCCTTGTTTTTTAACTACTGCTGCTTTGCCTAGCTGTACCTCATGGAAGGCTCTCAAGCATTGTTTCTGATGTTGCTTTTCTGTCAGAGTAAAAATGTCTTCACTTCAGATAATCCATTCTTGCTATGTGCTTTTACATCCTAGAGCTGCACATACTGTGTACTCTGTCATTAGGCCATAAACACAATATAGGACTCATCCTGTGAGTGATACTATATTATGCTTTTCTAATTTTTTTCCCCAGTCTGTAATGTTTCTCTATCTCTTGCCTCACCAAGAACTTCAGCTGAGAAGTGATAACTCTTCTCCTGTTCTCTTTTCTATTATGGTACAGCATATTGTCTTAATCCACTTCTGGGATTTTTTAATGGATCATTTATTTCTGTATTATGCTGCCTTTCATTGTGTTGAGGTCTATCTTGATACATCCTGTATTTTGTTTTTCTAGATCCTTTTTAGAACACAAGACATCAATGAACTACATGCTGGCTACACGTCTGTTTCAGGACAGGTAGAAAGCTCTTCTATGTGGGAGGGAGGCAGAGGGTACAAACAGCATGAAAAGGATTGATTCTTGACTTGTCCAATGTTATAAACACCGGTCCATGATTTACAGAGGTGGTAATAGTTGTGTGTCTCTTCTCTGGTGTACCAGTGACTGTGGAGGTTTCTCACATTTTTGTGTTGTACTTCTGAATCTAAGGGCAAAAAGGACAATGCACAAAAGGCATGGGAGTCATTGGAGTAAAAAGATGACTACAGACATGAAAAACCTTCAAACACCTAGGTTTCTCTATGAAGGGGTTATAGTTCGTCCTTGCTTACCTTTTGTTTCAAATTTAAAGTCACATTAGAGCTTGTAACTGTGTAAAGTAAGCACTGAAATTTACTCCAAATGTTTAGTATCCCCGTGTCTTGACCCATGCAAGCTTGATTTGATGCTTCTTTCTCTGGGCTGTCCTTGGGTGGAAATGTCAATTCATGCCACTAGCTGAACCTCCATTAAGAGCTGTATGCAATATCTTTCACTGTATGTTTAACACCCTTCCTTCTCAACATTTTTTTCTTATCCAAATTTAAGATCCACAATAAAGTAATTACAGAGTAAAGATAAGGTTGCTGACTAAGGAGACAATATTTATAGAAGCTCTTCCTGCATCAGCACTGTGCAATATTTTTTTTCTTTGCTATGTACTTTCAGGGATGTGTCTAGAGGGTATCTCAAAATGACACCTTCTCCAATTTAAGCCAGACAGATGAAAGCATTCATTGCAGAACAGCTGTTCAGATTTCTTCTTTTTGAGCCTTTTTTTTTCTCCTTTAAGATAGAACTCACAAGGAAATCTGTAAATTTGGCCCTTTCACTGTATATATGGAAGACTTCAGAGGCTTTTTAATCTAGTCGATGATCCAGAATGGAAGGTAATTTTTGCCATTTTTCCTTTTGTAGGGGCAAGATGAAAAGAGACTTCATTGCTGGGAGATCCCGGTAAATGGCTTCTTAATTAAATAACTTGCACTTCATAGGATTTAATCTAAACTTAGATTTCCACAACTTCATTTTCCAAGTCCTGGGTCAACACTTTTCTACCTGAAAACCATCAAAATAATTTTTGAAAAGTAAATACAGAGAGCAAAGATTATCCTAGCCTGTGGAGAACTTAAGTTCTGTTGGGTTGGACCTTAAAATTGCTTCTCTTAGGCTTCTT